TAATGCAGAAAATTGCATGTAGTTGTCTAATATTGACCCAACCTTGCATTCCTAGAATAAGGCCAGTAATCCAGAACTTTTCACCTGGAGAGTCAGAGAGGTGAGATTGTATCAGAGGAGAAACTCACTAAACTGTGCAATGCTAGCCCAACTGGTTCACCTCAAGACTGTCTCCTCTATGGCATTGTTCCTGACTCATCCACGTCTCCTCTGAGCTCTTAGAGCATTTACTATTTTTAAAAAATGTATTTTTATTGATTTCAGAGAGGAAGGGAGAGGGAGAGAGAGAAACATCAATGATGAAAGAGAATCATTGATCGGCTGCCTCCTGCATGCCCCCTATTGGGGGTGGAGCCCGCAACCCAGGCATGTGCCCTTAACTGGAATCGAACCCGGGACCCTTAAGTCCACAGGCTGACAGTCTATCCAGTGAGCAAACCAGCGAGGGCTAGAGCATTTACTATTGATAATGTTCATTTGACATTTGATGTGCTATTCTGTACACCTCTGTCTCCCAACTAGAATACAAGACCCTCAAAAAGCAGCAACTAGCAAGCACATAACAAATGCTTTCTTAAAATGCTTGAAATATTTTCTTGGATAAGATGATGAAGCATGAGTTGCATAATGCAGCATCCTTAGAAAAAGAGATTCTTGGACATGAGTTTTCTAGAGAGCTGCAGCTTTAAACTGCTAACATTTACTGAAACTTAAAAATCATTTTATTAAAAAAATGTTTTTATTGATTTTTAGAGAGGGAGGGAGAAGGGTAGAAACATCAGTGAGAGAGAAACATCCATCTGCTGCCTCTTGCACACCCTCTATTGGGGACCAAGGCTGCAACCTGAGCTTCTGCCCTTTCCAGGAACCAAACTGGTGGTGACCTCTTGGTTCGAGGGTCGATGCTCAACCACTGAGCCACACAGGCTGGCAAAAATCATGTTTAATTGTACTCCACACGTTCCTGTTTTGTTAACAGCGTTCTGGCCATGCTTTATACTTTTTTTTCATTTTAAGCATAATTTAACTTTTTTCTTGTTGAGTACAGTCTATCATTAGGATCATCAGTCATGGTATTGTGCTAAAGATACTGCTGTGGCTATAGAACGTGTGGGATGCAGAACCTCAGCTATGGGCCTGAATGAGTCTTTAATAGGGAAGGAAAAAAAAAACTGGCATTTCCCTCTTTGGCACTGACCTCTAGTTAACTCTCAGCAGCGATTTATACATTCCTCCTCCGCTCTCCTCCTCCCTCCACCCTCTTTTACCCCAGAATTACACAAGGCACAGCTGTAGGACTGGTCCGTTTTTAGCAGTGATACTGTGAAAAAGTTACCATTTCTTCAGATTACAACCTTCCTGAGCTTGTTTTTCCATTGTAGACTCTCTTCTCTGGACCTACTACTAGCTGACCTCATCACTGCTTCCAATTTCTAGAAAGGATGCAGCACAGGCAGTTGCTAAGAGCCTAGACCCGGGAGCCAGGCTGCCTGGGTTCAAATCCCAGTTTGACATTTATAGTTCAGCCCCATGACAAGTTACTTAACTTCACTCTTTCTCCGTTCCCTCGGCCATATAATGAGAATAAACATCTATCTACCTCACAGGATTGTTAAGACAATGAGTTAATATTTATAAAGTGCTCAGAACATGGCCTGTCGTAGAGTCGATGTTAAATAAACGAAGAAAACCCTGTCAACTTGAACTCCACCACTCTCTTACTTCTGTGTCTCCTGGGGCTGTGGTTGCATTGGAGGTGGTGGTGGTATTCTTTTGGGGGGAGGGGCAGTGCAGACATAATTAAGTGATCCTAGCAATCCTTCCACTGGTCAGTGCATCTCTCAGACATGGAAGGGGTGGGGGGAGGGGAGCTGGTCAGGTGTATTCATTACCTGTTTTGTTAGCCAGGCTAAAATGAGGGAGAAAATGGAGCTGTTCATTTAATCAGCGTAACGGGAATCTAGGGACACGTGTGACTGCTCATTTCCAGTGTTTGCAGGAGTGGGAGGGAGAAGAGATGGCATTTACAATTCTAGGGACCAGCTCCCGGCTTCCCATCACTGAACACGTTTAAAGAAGGGACTGGCGACCAGGTGTCAAGGGTGCTGTAAGAAAGGATTTTTCTAAAAAAAAAATTAGTCAGATAGTCTTGAAGATTCCCTCTACCTCGAAAATTTCGGCAATACTAGTGAGTCATCAGGACGTTGCAACCTAGTTGTGAGTCACACAACGCCAACGCGCTCCCCCAGGCACAGAATTCTTCACACACACACACACACACACACACACACACACACACCCAGGACTTGGCGCACAACTGATCCAGGTGAGGAATTCGAGCCCTCGGGCGGCGTACAGCTCGGCTCACGGTAACGAAAACTTCTCTAAAACTAAGCGCATCCATTAGCTGATTCCAGACTTCTGTTAGGACCAGCAAATACAATAAACCATAAATCCCAAATGGAATTTGGAAAGAAAAAAAAGATGTGTATCCGGATTAACTAACAGACAGTCCTTCACTTCACTCTTCCCAGCGGGGTGAGCAGGCAGGTTAGGGGAAGGGGCAGGGCGGCCGCGGTGAATGGGAGCCGAGAGAACGCACGCACCCCGGCGCGGGGAAGGGACAAAGGCGGCGGGGAGCGCGCTGGAGTGGGGGGCGGGCAGGAACCCCCAGCCAGAGCGGCCAACAGCCCAGGTTTGAGCTGGGAATGCAACGTGAGCCGGCAGCGGGTCAGAAAGGGGCGACGAGGAGGGTCCCTATATGCCAGGGGGGCCCCGGCCAGGTTCCTCTCGCCTCCCGGGCGCTGGGTTCAG